GCTGGAACCCTAGGGTGTGGACTTGGGTGTTCACTTAGTGAAGAAGAACCTGACTGCGTGAGCTTGAGACCTTGGGAAAGTTAGCAACCTCTCTGTGCTCCGTTTTATCAGTTTTAAAATGAAGCTAATAGTGGCGCTTACCTCATAGACGTGTTATGAGAGTTAAAGGAGTTAATATTTGTAAATTTCTTAGAACGGTGTCTGGCATATACTAGGCACTTGTATGTGTGTGCTATATAAAACAAAGACCCGTGGTTAGAGAGATGAAAATAATACCCCAGTGAGCTCTGAAGGGAAAAAGGAAAGTAGGAGCACTGGAGTCCTGAGCAGGGAGCCGAAACCGAGAGCAGAGATGAGGAAGAGCATGTTGCTGCTAACAGCCACCTGAACCCGCCCCCTCTCCCAGCTTCTTTAGGATCCTTCAAGTAAGCGTTTCTTGTGCTTTGAGGGCACTAGCTAACCTTCCCCTCCTCTCCTTCCACCCACTGTCTCCTAGATCAATAAGTGGGGGGAATGACCTCCCTAAATACAGCAGGCACAGAAGGGTGGCTGGAGATGACTACACCCTGCACCCGTCAGGAGAGAATGGGTTACAGTGCGTTACACTGAGTGAAGGCGAGTAAAGGACAAAGAGGAAGCAAAGGGTTGAGTAGCCAGTTTTGTGTCATTCTCCATGAGGGTGGAAAGTCCTTGGTCACAAGGGTTTAAGTAAAGGAACCTACCACCCCCACACAATAGTATGTATACTAATGTCTATTAGATTTTTTTACTTTCTTTTTTCCCTAAAGATTTATTTATTTATGGGGGGGAGGGGCAGAGGGAGAAAGAGAATCCTGAAGCAGATTCCCCGACGAGTGCAGAGCACAATGTGGGGCTCGATCCCAGGACCCTGAGATCATGACCTGAGCTGAAATCAGCAGTTGGTCATTTAACAGACTCAACCACCCAGAAGCCCCAACTTTCTTATCACCTTTTTTGAGATCTGGGTTGACTTGAATCCGTTTCTTCAAAACAAAAACAAATGCACACACAAATTCTCAAAACCGAGATGGGATCCTGGCCAGCCTCTACTTCCCTCTATTGGTGTATAATCAAGAATTGAGTATAACAAAGAAAATATGGGTACATAGCGCCACCAACATCAGTCTCCCAACTGATTGCTCATACCTCTTTCTTTTCCAGCTTCCACACAGGTGAGCCTAGTAATCCCAAACTTGCAGGTTCATTCTTCTCTAAGGTTCAAGACAAGAAAGATTTGATTCAGGAAACACTTGACTAGCCTATGTCTACCACTGAGACTTGGAGCTCTTGTGAAGGCATGCTGGCTGCTTGGTCAGTCACCATGCTGATCTCCAGGCCTGCTTCAGCGCATCAGGCTGCTGAGGTGGGTCTCTACTGCCTCCTACAAGTCTTGTGTTAGCACACTGATGCTCTTTCCCAGCCTCTATTTGGAAACAGGATTTTTGAGCTGATGTCTTGATATCCAGTTTCCCCCATACATAACATATTTTTCCATTTCTATAAGTGGGCTTCTGCTTTTTAGACCTTTCTGAATGTCTGCAGTAATAGTCTGCTCAAACCTCTTTCTAGAACAGAGGCTTTATCTTTATCTCAAAGGCCCCTCTCTACAAGGACTTTGGACTGGTAGCAAATTGGATCTCACCAGGACCCCTGCAGCCATGAAATCCTGTGTCTAACCCCCAGGACGATGGTCAGGACCTACGTATCTGTGGACAGATATCCAGGTGGGCCCACTCACCTCTTGGACTTCTCAGTATTGACTTCTGGAATCCTTCTACTGTGCTATACATTCAACAGGACATCAAGACCTTGTTGATACTGGACCTTTGTTTATTTTGAAAAAAAAAAACTAATTCAAATCCACTCACATCATATTGATATGACTGATACTTGAACCATGTCTGGATATGCTCATTTCCTTGGATATTCTGCTTCAGTGCCCTGCTTAAACTTCTATGGTTGGCAAAGACCTGCCCACCAGCCCCATTCTCTGCCTGAATGATTCCATTTCAGCATCAAGGGCATCAAAGGCAAAGGCAGCCTTTTTCAGTGGTTAAGTTTAACGACATTGGAGTTCAAATCCTATTTCCTCCACTTTTCGGCTAAACGACCTCTAGTTTCCTGTGTTTCATATGTAAAACTGGGGTATTGAAAGTGCTCATCTCATACAATATTGTGAGGATTAAGGTGAATAATAAATATTACTACTTAGAGAAATGCCAAACATGTCATGATTGCTCCATAAATGGTTAGTTATTACTATTATTGCTGGGGGATAGGAAATGGGAGCCAGGTGAATGGTTGAAGAAACTAAAGCAAGAAAAGTGTACAGAAAAAGAAGAATTAAAAGAGTGTGAGAAAGAACATATAGAAGACAATGGGCATGAAGCAAAAGTGGTGGATTCTTCTGTCTTCCACCCTAGAGGGTGCATGGCTAGACCCTTGCAGAAGTAGTCAGAATCATAGTCACAAGTTAGGATGAGAAAGCGGAATTTGGAGCATATGACTGTGAGTCTTGGTTCTTTGAGAAAACTTTTCCAACGTGGACGAGTCATGAGTTTGTGTACTCAGACTTCTCTTATTTCAGTGATTTCAAAGGCATTCTATTGGACATGTCATTTGGCCATTTAACCGACTCAGGCCCCCAGGCGCCCCAACTTTTTTATCACCAACTTCTCCCATTCAGTAGGTTGTCATTTAATTTTATGATTGTTTCCTTCACTGTGCAGAAGCCTTTTATTCTGATGTAGTCCCAATAGTTTATTTTTGTTTTTGTTGCCTATGCCTCAGGAGACATATCTAGAAAAAGGTTGCTAGGATCAGTGTTATAGAGAAATTAACTGGCTGTGCTCTCTTCCAGGATTTTTATGGTTACAAGTCTCATATTTAGGTCTTTAATCCATTTTGAGTTTATTTTTGTGTATGGTGTAAGAAAATGGTTCTGTTTCATTGTTTTGCATGTAGCTGTCCAGTTTTCCCAACATCATTTGTTGAAGAGACTGTCTTTTTCCCATTGCATATTCTTGCCTCCTTTGTTGAAGATTAATTGACCATATAATCATGGGTTTATTTCTGGGCTCTCTATTCTGTTCCATTGATCTATGTGTCTATTTTTGTGCCAGTGTCATACTGTTTTGATGACTACAGCTTTGTAGTATATCTTGACATCTGGGATTGTGATGCCTCCAGTTCTATTTTATTTTATTTTTTTCAGGATTGCTTTGGCTATTCAGGGTCTTTTGTGGTTCCATATAAATTTTACGGTTGTTTGTTTTAGTTCTGTGAAAAAATGCTGTTGGTATTTTAATAAGGATCACATTAAATCTGCATGCACTAACACTTTAAAGAGCCTCAAGAAACTGAAAACCCAATGAGAGGAAGCCAAGAAGAGTAGAGCAGAAAGAGCTCCATCCTTGGGATTAGAGGAACCAGCATCGCTTTGCAACCTTACAAATATCAGGTTGTGAAATTTCGGGTGAATTGTTTAACTTGAGTCTTAGTTTATACTTTTTCTGTGTGTAATGGGATTAATAGTATCTATTTTTGCTTACTTCAATGGCTTTAGTGTGAATCCCATACGAATATAGGCATAAAAATCGCAGAATGCTTTGCAAATTAAGTGACATCAAATGTCACCCTCCAGCCCTTCTCTGGAAGATTGGGGACATCCTTAGATTTTCACTTAGCTTCTATCCAACTCTCTTCCCCATCTACTTTCATTTTCTGTCTACCATGTCAGGGGGGGTTAGCACAGGATCCCAAAAGTTGTCCTGCCTAGTCGTTGCAATCTCCATGAAGTTCAAATTAAAGGAGCCACATCTTTAAGTGATCAAGGGAACCAGAGAGACCAAGGTGTATTGATTCTACCTTTTTAGGAAATCTCAACCCACTAGATTCTCTGTGTTCTAACACATAGCAGAAATTTGCTAGTGAGTTTTTCAGAGTGGGTAGGAGAGACTATAAGTAGATTTAGAAATGCCAAGCATAGGGGTGCCTGGGTGGCTCAGTCAGTTAAGTGTCTGCTTTTGGCTCAGGTCATGATCTTAGGGCCCTGGGATCAAGCCCCACATTGGGCTCCCTGCTCAGTGGGGAGTCTGCTTCTCCCTCTCCCTCTCCCTCCTGCTCCCCCTGCTTGTGCTCTCTCTCTCTCTCTGTCAAATGAATAAATAAAAGCTTAAAAAAAAACAAGTAAATAAATAAAATCTTTAAAAAAAAGAAATGCCTAGCATAGTCAATTTTTATATACAGAAGGTAATTGTTTGGATTTAATGAGAGACTGTGAAGACAAAACACCCCAGAGCTGTGTTGATGTTACATAGTTTTCTCTGTACTAACAACAACCAGTATCCATGTGTCCTTATAGTTTACTGTTCAGCTGTAAGTAAGAAAAGTAGTTTCAAGTTCTCCATTTCTTTTTTGAGACCTAACTTATTGTAAAATGGAGATAACAATCTCTTCCTCATTTACTTTGGAGAGTTTTTGAAGGATAGAAGCAGAATAATAATTCTGAATGTGCTTTGAAAATAAAGGGGGCTTATAGAGATGAAGATCTTACAATGATAATTATAGGTATGCATTACTCTAACCTGATACAGTAATGAAATATAATTTGGAAAGGCCTATCTCTCTCAAAAACTATACACCAGAATCTAAAGCCAAAAAGAAATGCTTTTAAGTTATTCAAGGTTTTAGATGATATATTCTTTTGCTGTGCTTTCTCAGTGGGCCTACCAAGTGCTGACTCTCCTGAGCAAAAGGGTTTGCAGAGTGGGCACAAATAAAATTCAGAAACATAACCTCAAAAGCTGAAAAACAGTTAGGTTTGGATCTTAAGTCTCTCCCCAGACAGTTGGATACCTTCTGAAACCCAGGGTGTACTTGTTAAAATAGATGGGGAAGGCATTTCAATGTCTTCCTTACGGGCAATTTCTAAAACTTAATAGAAAACTAGGAGGGCATCAACAAGAGTCAGAACTCACAGGTTTGCAGGAAAAGGAGCCAGATCCACAGGCAGCGCTGAGCCATGTCCTTCTAGGCTGTAATCTTGTGTGAACAAGAAGGCGTTCCTCCAACAAAAAGCCAGTTGCAAGTAAGTTTCCCTGCTCAGTTTATAGCCACCGCTAAGAAAGGAAGTATGAGCGAGCGGATTGGAGAAACGTTGGTCTATATATTATGATGATAATATTTTCCTATTATATAATACAAAATGCCTAGCATTAATTAATTATTTATTCAGCAAATATGTATTGAATGCTTACTGCGTGCCAGGCACTCTTCTGCAAACTGGCACTATACAGAACAACAAAGCAACGGATCCCTCTCTTTTCATGGAGCTCATGTTCTTGTTGGGGAGATCAACAATTAAATAGGCAATTCCTATATCGTATGATAAGTGTTGCAAGAGAGGAAATACAGGGAACTGGGAGAGCAGTAGGGGACTCTAACCCAGGCAAGGAGAGTGTGAGAAAGGCTTTCTAAAGGAACTGACAGCCTGGCTGAGGCAGACTTGAAGAGCAAGTTAGCATTATTAGGTGAAATGTGGTAGGGGGATAGGGAATAGGAAGAATGTACTGACACAACAGGAACCTGATAAATGGTAGCAACTCACATTATAGAATTACAGCTATATAACTATATTACATATAATTCTACTATATATAGTTGTATTATATAATTATATTGATTATATAAATTATTATGTGTATTGTAGACTATATAACATAATGAGTATAATTATATTATGATCGAACTACATGTAATAAAGGATTGTTCTTTAGTCGAGGCCTCCACTCCCTGTTAGAAGAATAATAGGGGCCTTATATATGTGTGGGGTGTCAGGGAGAGGTGATGGGAATAAATATTTGGGCCCAGGAGCCAAGCGGTTTAAATTTGAACCCAGTTGTTTCAGGGAGTGTTGGGGGAAGCTGAGGACATGGCCTCTGAGACCTAAGGGCAGTAAGATTGTGTAAAGGTTTTCCCACTGAGAAGTGTCCTTGGCCAACTCCTGGGCCTCCAAAATCATTCACGGAACTATCCTGCTCATCATTCTCCTTATATACTTGCTCAAAATTGAGTAGTTGAATACCTTTATCTACGTAAAGGTAGTATGTGGTGAACCAGGCAGCTGTTTGGGACCAAAAAACATTGAAAATAAAAATGAAGTTTCCCAAATTAATTTATTCATTTCATAAGGTTGAACCATATTACTTCCTAAAATATGTAATTGCTACAGGTGCAAAATCACACATCTATCATCTATTCATTGCACAGAGAAGGAAGAAAGAAGAAAGAATATGAAGTTGCCAAGAGCTGCTGAAAACCCAACTTTGTGTTCTCTTTCTTCCTTTTTCCTTCTCTATAGGAATGTTCAATCCTCTCTGGCCATTTACAGCTGTTGCTTGGTCTCATGTCTATGTCTTTAGGAATTCTAGATTGGTATCTTACTCAAGGACGTATCTCCTGTTGAACCTGGGCCAGTGTCTTTTCTCTGTCTTTCAGCCTTAGATCACCAGATAACTAGTATATTTTTATCAAGAAGATACTAACTTTTGGGCGCCTGGGTGGCTCAGTTGGTTGAGCGACTGCCTTCGGCTCAGGTCATGATCCTGGAGTCCCTGTATCGAGTACCGCATCGGGCTCCCTGCTCGGCGAGGAGCCTGCTTCTCCCTCTAACCCTCCCCCATCTCATGTACTCTCTCTCTCTCTCATTCTCGCTCTCTCAAATAAATAAATAAATCTTAAAAAAAAAAAAAGAAGATACTAACTTTTGAGACTTCTTCTCTTGATATGATGCAGAAAGATACAAAAGTCCTCCCATTCCATAATAACAACAACAAAAACAAAATAAGAGGGGCGCCTGGGTGGCTCAGTCGTTAAGCGTCTGCCTTCGGCTCAGGTCATGATCCCAGGGTCCTGGGATCGAGTCCCATATCGGGCTCCCTGCTCCACGGGAAGCCTGCTTCTCCCTCTGCTACTACCCCTGCTTGTGTTCCTGCTCTCACTATGTCTCTCTCTGTCAAATAAATAAATAAAATCTTAAAAAAAAAACAAAAAAACAAAATAAGAATCATACTCTTCTATGGGACATGCATTGAATGGTGTTTGCAAAAAACCCTTGATGGACTGAATTCCAGTGAAACATGTGCCCTTTGTAGTTGAGCAGAGAACTAAATAGCTCAAGACTTGGGGCAGGAAACTGGTCTGGGGTTCAGACCAGAAGACACAGACTTTGAGAAGAAGGACAAGTTTAGATGAAACTGGCAAGACAGGATGGAATTTAGAAGCCTCCAATGCAAAACCAAATAGTTTTGCCCAACAATTCCCATCCCCTCCAGAATTTTGCTGAGAAAGTGGCACTGAGGAGGGACTGGAAATCAGAGACACACTGTAAGATACCCCATATTTCATAATAGTTGGATTCTAGAGTTTTAATATAAAAGTAGACAAAAAAATACTGAAACTACAGCCCAACCCTGTCCCACCTCAAATATTAGCAAGCTCTAAAAGGCACTGGTGGTTAAGGAGGTGAAGGGTTAGGTTAATTACAGATGAATTCAACCTAACACTGTTGACCTATTCCAGCTCAATTTCATTCTAAGGGAAATATTAATGATCAGCTTCTCCCTCAAACAGCCATGCAGAGGGAAGGGGTTACATTCCCAAGAAAATAAATAAAGCAAAGCAGAATAAAATATATTATACTTGAATACATATTATCCTTTGTTTCAAATTCTATTTTGTCTCATATAAGTATAGCTACTTCAGCTTTCTTTTGGTTTCCATTTGTATGGAATATCTTTTTCCATCCCTTCCCCTTCAGTCTGTGTATGTCCTTACATCTAAAGTTATGTACATCCAATTACATAATGATAAAGGGGTCAACCTGACAAGAGGATATAAATTTGTAAGTATTTATGCATCTAACATAGGAGCACGTAAATATATAAAGCAAATATGAATAGACCTAAAGGGAGAAACTGACAGCAAGGCAATAATAGTAGGGATCTCTAATACCCCATTTACATCAACACATAGATCATCCAGACAGAAAATGATAAGGAGACATCAGCCTTAAATGACCCACTAGACCAAATGGACTTAACAGATATATACACAGAACATTCCATCCAAAAACAAGAGAACATACATTCTTCCTAGGTACACATGGAACATTTTCCAGAATAGGTCATAGGTTAGGCCACAAAGCAAGTCTTAATGAATTAAAGAGAATTGAATTCATATCAATATCTTTTCTGACCACAAAGGTATGAAACTAGAAATTATGCAAAGAAAACTGGAAAATTCTCAAATATGTGGAGATTAAACAACATGCTACTGAATAATTAATGGATCAAAGAAGCAATAAAAAATTTTAAGATACCTTGCAATAAATTAAAATGGAAATATGACATACCAAAATTTGTGGGTTGCAGCAAAAAGCAGTTCTAAGAGGGAAGTTCATAGCAGTAAATACCTACCTCCAAAAAAAAAAAAAAAAAAGCAAATAAATAACTTTCCACCTCAAAGAACTAGAAAAGGAAGCACAAGTGATGCCCAAAGTTAGTGGAAGGAAGGAAGTAATAAAGGCTAGAGCAGAAATAAATGAAATAGGGGTGAAAAAGAAAATAGGGGGGAAGATCAATGAAAAGAAGAGCTGGTCTTCGAAAAGATAAACAGAACTGAAAAGGCTCTCACCAATAAAAAAGAGAGAGGGGTCAAATAAATAAAATCAGAAATAAACCTACACATATATGGTCACATAATTTATAACAAAGGAGCCAAGAATCTACAATGGGGAAAGGACAGTCTCTTCACTAAATGGTGCTGGGAAAACTGAATATCCACATGCAAAAAGTGAAACAGACCACTATCTTACACCATAGACAGACTAACTCAAAATAGATGAAAGACTTGAATACCACAAGACCCTCAGAAGAAAACATAGGCAGTGAGCTTCTTGACATAAGTCTTGGTGATGATTTTTTTATTCTGGCACCAAAATCAAAAGCAACAAAAGCAAAAACAAATGGGACTACATTAAACTAAAAAGCTTCCGTGCAACAAAGGAAGCCATCAGAAAAATGTAAAAGCAACTACTGAATGGAGAAAATATTTGCAGATTATATATCTGATAAAGTGCTAATATCCAAAATATAAAAGAACTCATACAACTCCATTGCAAAAAAAAAAAAAATCCATTAAAAAATGGACAGAAGATCTGAATGGATATTTTTCTAAAGAAGACATACAGATGGCCAACAGGTACATGAAAAGATGTTCAACATCATTAGCCTTTAGGGAAATCAAATTAGAATCACAATGAGGTACTTCTACACGTACTTTAAAATGGGTAAAATTAAAAAGACTCACTGGGTTGGTTAATTTTATGTGTCAACTTGATCGAGCTATCGGATACCCAGATAGTTGGTAAAACATTATTTCTGAGTGTGTTGTGAGGGTGTTTCTAGAAGAGGTTAGCATTTGAATTGGTGCACTGAGTAAAGCAGAGGAAGGCTGAATTGGCTCTCTGTGCCTGACTGCCCGGGCTGAGACATCAATCTTTGCCCTTCGCCTGGGGCTCGCACCATCCATGCTCCTGGTTCTCAGACCTTCGGACTCTGACTGGAAGTCACACCACTAGCCCTCTGGGTTCTCCAGCTTGCAGACAGCACACTGTAGGACTTTACAGCCTCCGTCATCATCATGAGCCAGTTCCTTATAAGAAACCTCATTCTAGCTACCCATGTAGATATCCAATTGGTTCTGTTTCTCCGGAGAAACCTGACTCCCCGTACCAAATGCTGGTAAGGATGCGGAGGAACCGGAACTCTTATGCATTGCTGGTATATATGTACCTAAAATGGTTGCTGTAGATTGAATGTTTGTCTCCCCCTAAAATTCATACATTGAAACCTAACCCTCCATGTGGGTATCAGGTGGTGGAGGCTTTGGAAAGTGATTTGATCATGAGAATGGAGCATTCCTGAGTGGGATTAATGCCCTTATAAAAAAGGGTGCAGAGAGCATCCTCCTCCTTCCACCACGTGAAGACACGGCACAAAGACAGCCATCTACAAACCAGGAACTGGGACCTCCTGGCACCGAATCTGCTGGCATGATGACCTTGCACCTTCTAACCTCCAGAACCATGAGAGATAAATTT